GCATGGCATCCGCAGGAATGAATGAATGGCTGGACGCAGCCTCTTGATTTATACTTCTGCGCTGCGTTGGTCTGCCCTGTATCCCTGGCCCATGGTGCACACAGTCCCCCCCGTGGTACTTGCTGGACCGGACTGGTACTTTCTAGACTCTCCCATGACTGCATGGCGACTACCCTACGACGCAGTGCACCACTGCACTGGGGTCCTACTATTTGCCCTTGCCACTTGTCCTCGTCTCCAACATGGGCTTGCTTTAGTCACACCACTTGCCCACTTGCCTGCACCACTTGACCACTTGCCAACCTTCTAGGAGGACTGCAGCTAGCCTTCTAATCTACAGGTCTACGGATCGAATCCTGGCTACCTATAGACCTACGCGGTTTTACAGGTCGCAGGTTCAACTCTTCGAGTTGACGCAGGTATTGTACACAGGTAAGTTGGGGAACAAGGGATCGAGCCCTGGGATCTGCCTCAGCTACCACGAATTGGTGAATACCGTTTCACTCCCGCCGGCCTAAATTCGAGGTCCTCCGAGAAAATTTCAGTCCAAGGCAGGACCTTTACCCTTCTGCTGTCTTTCGTAGGCCCGGACTATGTCGGGATCTGTCTCTAGAAGTTCAGATCTAGTAAACCAGCGGTCGTCTTCCGGTTCTTGATAACTAAAGTGAACCTTGTACTGTTTCTGTGGACGACCCCTACCTCCAGTCCTGAATACATCTTCAGCCACTATTCCATCAATGTCGTATCTTCCATCCATATCCGGTGGGATCATGGACCTACGGGATGGAAACTGATCACTTGTTTGACACGGTAACAACTTTGATGCGTGGAAAACTGGGTAAGTGTGGAGGTGTGCTGGTAACTCTATGGTGTAGGGCAGTCCATCGTCGCCGCCCTTGACTTCCAGAACATGCCACGGTCCTCTATATGTGGGCAGCAACTTCTGCGAGATGTTCTCCTCAGGTGCAAACTCTTTCGAACTAACCCAGACTAAGTCGCCTACTTGAAACTGTGAAGGGCGACGATGTTTGTTTGCTTGTTCTATCATCCTATGCTGGGCTTTCCTGAGGTTTTCTACAACAGTAGCTAGTTCTTTCTCGTGCYGTACAGCGAACTCCCAGGTCCCGGGCGGCAATCTCTGAATCTGATCCCGGTTGAGTCCCTCAAACGGTCTGCGCGGTCTAAAGGACTTGTGCAGTTCGTTGGGASTGCGGCAGGTGGCTAGATGCACGCTGTTATTGTACGCACTAGCTACTTTAGGCAACATCTCATCCCAGTTAATCTGATCTGGCCTAATATACATGCGCAGAACTTGCTGCGAGAAATTGTTCATTTGCTCTGTCCAACCGTTAGTCTCTGGATGGCGGCCGGACGACATCAACAACTTAATTCCGTATACTCCCATGAGTTCTTGCCAGTTCTGGCTAGTAAAGCGACTATCTCTATCGCTTACTATAGACAGCGGGATTCCATTCTCACTAACCCAACAGTCAAAGAACCTCTGTATGACTAAATCAGTACGCGCCTCAGAAGGCAAAGGAACAAAAACTTCGTACTTGCTAAAGCGGTCAACTATGACCATGACTTGGCTCTTGCCATGCCTGCTCTTGACTTGAGTGTCCATGAAATCTATTGACACTGAGTCTCCCGGCTGATCCGGAATGGGCAAGGGTCTGAGAAGACCTAATGGGGCACGCGTAGAAGACTTGTTACGCTGGCAGACCTTACAACTGCGAACATACTCTACGCAGTCATTCTTCATCCCTAGCCAGGTATACGAGCGCATCAGATTGGCTAAGGTCTTTTGCCAACCAAAATGACCCTCCGTGTCTATTGGGGATGCACAATCGGTCAAAAACATTAGTCTTCTCAAAAAGCAACCCTTCAGTAGTGCGGTAGTTCGACACGGTCTCTGGGGCCTCCTTGACTCGCGTGAGGAGCTCATTATAGATAGGGTCCTGCGCGTAGGCTTCTCTAACCTTCTGCTGCAGATCCTTTCCTATATCAAGGTGATGTACTATTGCCCCAAAGTAATCTGCTCTCCTACTCAGAGCATCCGCGACTACATTGTACTTCCCTTTAACAGGCTTGAGCTCGAAGTCGTACTGATCTATCTCTGCGGCCCGCCTAGTAAGCTTAGGTGTCATCTTGGCCTGGGTCTTTAACCATCGTAACGTTTCATGGTCCGAATAGACTTTGAAGTGCCTCCCAAGCAAGTAGTGCTTCCAGTGGTCTAATGCTTGCCTGAGAGCGTAGAGTTCCCTCTCAAAGGTAGATGTCGCAACCTTCTCTGAAGGCATCCTAGCGGACATGAACTCTACGGGTCTATAGCCATAGCCATCGTCTTGCTGTAACACTGCGCCTATGCCGTACTGGCTAGCATCCGTAGTAACGACAAAAGGCAAGGACGGATCGGCGACCTTAAGGACCGGGTACTCTATCAACGCCTGCTTTAGCTTCTTCATGGCAGACGTGCAGTCCTTGTCCCACTTCTAGATTGTCTCTTTTCTTAGCAATCTGCGAAGGGGCGCAACGATGGTGGAGAAGTTCCTCACGAACTTCCTGTAGTAATTTGCTAAGCCCAGGAACGAGCGCAACTCTGTTATCATATGTGGCGTGGGCCAATCTCTAATCGCTGCGATCTTGCTATCTTCTGGCTTAATGCCGTCTCCGTCTAAGACGTGGCCTAGATACAAAACTTGGGCAGCCGTTCGGGTCTCTCTATACTTAGGACAATATTTGATGATATGGCCCGGGTCACCGCAGAAAATGCACTGGCCCCGGTCCAATCGTTGTTGCCATAAAGCTTGGTCCAGACCCAAAGATTCCCGAGGCCTACCCTGAGGTAGCCCTGGGTGCCATCCTCCTATTCTATTGGGAGACCTATTCCTAGGACGGTTTTGCGGGGGACCTTGACCCCTGCCTCCCGCTTGGCGGTTTCCTCCTCTGCCGCCAACCCCCTGATCGCCCTGAAATCGACTCCCTGAGGCCCGGCCCCCTTGGCCCTGGCCTCTTCCTCCTTGCGGCCTCCCTCCAGCCGCGACAGCAGCGTAAGATCTCCCTTGGCCCACACCGCTGTCCTCCTCCTCCAACCCCCACTCAATCTGGTCGTAGGGGATCTCATCCACACTACCCTCATCTAAGGTTAGGACAAGGTTGTCCTTGGTCTTTACTTGCCCTGAGATAGTGCGGCCCTTCCATTGCTTACCCCTGTCCAAGTCCTTGTGCCAGAAAGTGGACACAGGCGCAGACTTGGCTTCAAAAGCCACTACTTCGCGACTAAGGGAATCGTATGTAGTGGCAGGGTCTTCGCTCTTTGC